TGAATCTCACCATTCAATGGAACCATTGCCATGAGGGTCTGAACCCTCTGGCCAGGAGAGGACCTTGGTCCTGCGAAAGCACTGGTGAGAAGCCAAAGCGCAGGGCTGATAAAGCCAGGCTAGGATAGCTGGCTGCATGTGTTTGAGCCCTGCTCTCACCAGTTGAGGGGAGTTCATGACTACAGGCAAGGTCAAAGGGGTGCTCATTTGCTTCATGACTTCAGGTGGGAGTACCAGAATACACTGATAATTCAGTCTTCCTTCATTCTGGCATGGGAAAAGCAGGCAGCAGGGCTGCAGTGGGCAGCTGGCAGCCTTCAGCGATGTCATCCAAAGAAATCACTGGTCCTAAGATGACATTAAGAGGGGAGGAGGAGGAAGACGTCAAGGTGGCGTCCAACTAAAGGCATTGTTCTCTTTGCTCCGGGGCCATGCGAATGACAAAACACTAATATTTGCTTTTCCATTTCCTTTCAGCCCCATTGTTTAAGGGCTCGGTCGGAGACAACTTTCCAGCTCACCTCTGTTTACCCTGAGCACCAAGGGTGCTCGGCCCTTTGCTGAGCCTTTCCCTTCCTTCCATTGGCTCGGTGGGAAGGAAAGGCTTGCTAGTCCTTCCCCACATGAGCAGATTCCTTGTCCCCCTTGACAGCAGCTTGGGAACAGCTGGGCCTGCTGTACTGGGGAGCTGTGTGTTTTCTTTTGAAGGGCTCAGCACTACTTAAAAGGCAGGTCTGGCCCCCAGCACGCCTGCCAAGTCAAATGGTTGGCTTGCTGCGAATCTCAGCTTAAGTAGGAATAGATCCAACAACGGAGCAGGTCAAAAATCCCACTTGGCTCAGATGCCTGCTCCTTGGCTCAAGATTCCTGACAGCAAAGCCGTTTTTAGTAGTGGCTGTGTGAACCTTTAGTGCTCTCTTCAGAGAGCACGGCCTGTTCTGCTTTGCTCTGCAATGAGCTGATTCCCACCCAAAATGTCTTTTATTCCCACCCAAAATATCTTTTTATTAAAGATACAGAACCCCCAAAAAGACTCGAGGGGACCTTTTCAATGCATTAAGGATGTCAGCAAGAAGGTTTTGATTGCTTTTAAACCCTTCCAACCCTGGGCTTTGCAGATGGTTCTTGAAGAGGGTGTGGGATCTTCATGAGCAGTGCTTCCTCTTACCTGTGCTTTCTGCTTCTTAAATGCCAGCAAGCTGGTGGCTTTTACAGCCTTAGACAGTCCCTTTACTTGACTTTGCCTCCCAGTTTGTAAGAGCAACGGCATGGCCAAAATATAGCTGGACAAGACCCACATCTTGCTGACCACCCCCCCCCCCCCCTCCTTCCATGTACCTCTGCTGCTCCATGCTCCAAAACCCAAGGGTTTCCCCTACAGGGGAGGCACGGAAAGCAGGCAGGGCACTGTAGTGGTGCTGAGTGTTCTGCAGGAGCCTGGAGTTCCAAGCCTAGGCAATGGGGTCTGCCCTATTCCCAGTATAGACCTGGTTGCTTGGTGCCAGTGCAGCACTGAACTGGCCAGGCAGGACCACTTCTTGTGGCTCACACCCTGCCAGGAAGCATGCAGTGATATAAACACCACATCAGTGCTGCGGATTGATGGCTGGATAAACAGCAGGCCTGCCTGGAGGAGGCATGGCTCTCAGGCCTTGCCTTGGGGGAGGCTAGGGTGAGGTACACACAGCACTCTGCATCCTCTCCTTGGCTCTGCCCACCTCTGCAGGTCAAGAGCATCTTCAAGGGCATGAATTGTCATCTTGGCACCACTGGCATTAAGAGATCGCCTGTTGTCTCAGTGCAAGTGATGTCCCAGTGCACCCAGTGTGTCCCACTATCTCCCATTAGACTGAGGGAGGGCTCTAAGGTCTCCACACAGCTTCCCCTCTCCAGGCTGAACAGCCCCAGTGTCTCCATACAGGAGGTGCTCCAGCCCCTGATCATCCTCACAGCCTTCCTCCAGCTTTAAACCTCCTCAGGTAAGGTGCTCAGTAACCTGGTGAAGGAGTCTGGCAACTGGTTCCTTTTCAATGCGACTGCCTCTGCAGCGGTTACTGGGCACCACTGTCACCAGCAATCAGTGCCAGCTGCTCCCTCGTTGCCAGAGCAAGCCACCCTGCGTGCGAGCCGTCTGCGTGAAGGTGTCTGCTTGAACTCATGGTGGAACGAGGCAGGTGAGGGCGTTTTGCTGTGCGTGACATGGGTACAAATACCGAGTGCTCACCTCCACTGACCTCCTGGAGCAGAAAGGCTGGTGACTGGCAGCCTGGACTGCAACCATGCTGGGCTGGAACAGAAGGCTGCTGAAGTGAAGGAGAATCAAAGGCAGCTCTCCTGAAGCCAATGGGGGACTCAGAGCGAGTGCCTCAGCCCTGATTTACTGCAGGCATCTCGTGATACCTGTTATGCTTTGTTAAAACTGGCTCCTTGAGCAAAGTGGGAATTGCGGCTTTCCGAGCCTCACACGAAGAGGAAGAAAAGCAGAGAACCCTTAGACTTGGAACAGAAAGCAAATAAAACTGTAACACTTTGGCTGTGTGATAAATACAATGATCTTCAAGCTCCTCACATAATTCCAGTTGTCTGAGAGTGCTGACAGCTCAGAGCTTGCTGCCACGCTGTATGCATAAACCGGCCTTTTGGCTCTTTGAGGATACTGAAGATGTCCTGGTCAATATTTACAGGGTTTAATCTCCAGTGCTAATCAGAGCTGAGATTATGGAGTTTATTCAAATCAACCCTGCACTGATTGCTTGCTTTCTGCAGTTGCTGGTTTCTTCCCTGCTGTCCAGATGCCAGGGAAACTGGGAGTTTATGGAGGTTAGATTTGCTGGAGTACTGCTATTCACTGTAGCAGTGTGAGAGGATTTGGCCTTCAGGGGCTGATGTTACTCCAAAATGAGATGTCCCCCACACCTTGACATGAGTTAACAATGGGAATCTTGGACTGGGAATGGTTCTGTGGGATATGTTTTTCTTTGAAGCTGTGTTTGTGAGAAGAAGGAACCTTTATTGTGAAGAGAGGGCAGCACATGTGAGCTGTCCTGGCATCATTTCAGCCCATCTTCAAGGTTATGCATGGCTCCAGAAGCTTTTTCTGCACCCCCTGGAAGGGCTCCTTTGGCCCCACTCCTGCAGAGCTGGCCTGTGGCTGTCGCCATCCATGCATGGTACAAAGGAGAAGGAAAGTCATCACAGACCCCTGATCACTGCTCCTAAGGCTGCATTTCATACTGTGCAATGGCTATTCAGGGCAAGGTCTGCATCCCTGAGCTGCTAAGAAGCAACATTAAAAGGTCCGTGCTCTTCTCCAGTAAACCTGCTTGGCAGTGATGCAGGCGTCCTATGATGCTCTTATCAGGACTTGACTTGGTAACGCAGCTCTAGAAGGAGCCTGGCTGTGTCAGTGAGGAATCCAGCTAAAGGAAAAGGTGCATTGGTACCTCCTCTTTGCTTTCCAAGCTGAAAATGAAGCCCAACCCGGGTGCTGTGCAGCAGAGGCGCCTCCGGTTTATGGAGTGGGTTGGTCAACAATGAGCTACAAAGTGTCAGGGTAGGCACTGATTTCAGTGCAAGCAGAGCTTTGCAAATGCTCCTTGAAGCCTCTCCCTGCTGCCAGAGCCTTTTCTACCCCTTGCACAGCCAAAGACTGCATGCTCAGAGCCGGGAAAGCCAAGGACAGAGCAGAGCAGTGAGGACAGAATAAATGAGGTGCTTGGAAATCAAAGCCTTTCTCAGCACTGCAGCTCCAGCAGTGCTGCCCCTGTCCTCTCGGGGGCTTTCTCATCTCTTTGCCTTATAATACCCACAAAGGTTGCAGCTTGTCCGGGCACATCTTTCAGTGCTGCTGCATTGAGCCTCTGAGCAGAGGTGAGAAGTCCTCTGCACATCCTCAAGGGAAGAGAAGCATCACGGCTTGCTGTTCAGCGTGACCTTCCACTCCATAAGCAGTAAGGGCAGTGCCACTGAATGGGCTTGTCTCTGCTTACTGCTGCTGGAGAGGGAAAACATCACCAGCATTGCCCTGAATTAGGCATACCAAGTTAAAAAACTATAGTTTGATGTCCTTCATGAAATACAACCCTAATTGCTGCTGTCATCTCTCCCCACCAGCATCAGACTGCCTTGTAGCAAATACCCACCCATCTTCTCAAGTCTGTCAGCCAGCGTTGACCTTGCTACGAAGCATGCTGGGTTCTGGTTTGTCAGCAGACAGGGTGAGAAGGGAAGTGTCGGGAATGAAGGTGGTGTGAAAAGCAGGGAGGGAAGGTGCCGCTGCGCACTGAGCAGATGGAGGGTGAAGTGGTGTCACAAGCCCCGTGGGCGCTGCTGTATTAGTGATGCTAATAAGCAGTGAGGAACGGGGAATGAGTTCTGTGGAGCTGATTGGGGTCAGATGGGGACACTGGAGGGCAGTGCTGTCCCCACTTTTCCCCTCAGTCATAGAATCCCACACTGGTTTGGGTTGGAAAGGACCTTAAGAGCATCCAGTTCCAACCCCTGCCATGCGACAGGTTGGCTGGGAGATGATAACTCTGGTAACATCTAATGCTGATGGAGGCAGTAGTCTGGAGGTCTTTCTCTTCACAGCATGGCTTAAACGCCTGTGACAGTGTAATTGGGCTCTGGGAAATGGGTTCCTTCCCAGCACCAGGTTGTGTTTTGGATCAGGGAACTCTTTCTCAGACTTGGGAGAACAGCCCAGAGAAACTGTGGCTGCCCCATCCCTGGCAGTGTTCAAGGCCAGGTTGGACACAGGGGCTTGGAGCAACCTGGTCCAGTGGAAGATGTCCCTACCCATAGGGCACAGCCAGTCTGGGATCTGCTGCACTGGTGGCACTGCAGAGGACTGGCACTGCTGGCATCCTTTCCTCATGGAGCTTCCAAGCACAGTGCTGCTGACACTCACCCTAATGGGTGCTGAGGGCCAGGAGCTCAGGCGGCAGCAATGAGTTTAATGAGTTCCCACTACTTTAACTGCCAGCCCCAGTCCTTGCCATCCCTTTCCATGGCTGCTCCTCTGTTCAGCATGCTGCAGAGGACATGCAAGGAGAGCCAGCCTCAAACGGTTAGTGTTGCTGTCCTCATTCTCCTTGTCCAGCCCCTCTTTCTTATCTCCACAGCAGAGGATAGATTTCCCTAATGAGCCCACACTGGCCTCATGTTGCCTGATCTGATAGCAGTCACTCAGCATCCCTGCAGTCTTGCTGCTCTTTGCTGAAGTCAGCTTTCTGCTCCTGCTGCCAGGCTGGGAGAGTGCTGGTGTTTACTCACCCCTTAATCTCTGCTGCAGCCTGAGGAGCTCCCAGGATGCGCAGGTAAGGCCGTGTGCCTCATGGGCTCATGCCAGTGATAGGGTATAGAGTTAGTAAGGCAATGGAGCCCTACCCATCTCAAGTGGGTCCGCAGGGGTTAAATCTGGCATCCTGGTGGCTCTCGGCACATCTGGGCTTATGCTGGGTGAGACACTGATGGCAAAAAGAGGGACCAAAGGTCTCTGAGAGCAGGCTGGGGATGCTAGCAAAGGGCTGTGTGACATGATGCCCTCTGTGATGACAGACAGCTGAAGTATTTGGGGGGTCAGGCTGAGCGGGAACAGGGCTGGATGCAGCAGCCTGTGGCTCCATGCCCTGCACCCAGGCCCATAGGTTTCCTTACTGGCCTTTCTGAAAAACAGGGTTTGGAGACTCAGAGACCTGCCTTGGATGTAGAAGAACCTGGTGGCACCAGCAGAGATGCCATCCAATCAACACTGCTTCTCTCTGCCTCCCATCAGCCATCAGCTTGCACTGAGCATCTTTCCACTCTCCTTACAAGAGGCATCTTCCTCCAATGCAGTGGGAGAAATTCAGACCCTAAATAAGGCTGGTATCTGCAGAATTGAAAGGGGAGGATTGGGAATAGCATGCCATGGGGTCTTCATGAATGCTGTAGAACAAGAAGTGGCTGATATGTGCTGTATCCGCTTGCACGCACCTGCACTGGCACACAAAGGGATGAGGCTGCTGCTCTGTGAGTGTAAGGCAGGCACATTTTAGCCTGTAAACCAGCAATGACCTCCAGCACATTGCCAGTATTGATGTTCCTCACCTCAACTCCAGGCACAGCTTGGTCTGTATCCATTGTCATTCCCCTCTGTGGCCTGTGCTGCCACTGAGCATGGTGGGGAATTCAGCCAGCACTTGGCCTGGGTTTCCTATGGGATACATGCATCAGAGAGCGTGTCTAGGCCTCCTGCCATCCGAGCTTATAGATTACCCATGGATATTGATGTGACTCCTCATGGCATCTCCCATTTCCTGTATGAGGGAGCACCTGTTTCCATCCCGGTTTCTGGCAGGCATTGCTTTATCCTGCCTTGCTGCACAGGACTCAGTGCCACACAGATGCTAATGGGCACCATGGGAAGCTGCAAACACACTTCTTGACTGGCAAACCCCAGTCCTTTGCTATAGGAGAAGCTGCTCTAGACAAGACTAATTGGAGAAGGTTTCTTGAACTTGGATCATGACAACAGTGCATTGGCTTTTACGCTGCTTCTGCCATCACAAAGCACTTTGCAAAGGAAATCAGTGCATTTCCCACTGATGAATGCAGGAGAGTGACTGCTCCAAGAGCCATGGGAGAAGTAAGACATCATGATCTTGCATCTGCTGTGCCCCCAAACTCCTGTCACAGCTTGGTGAGCACTTATGCTTCTCCCTTTCAGCCTTGAACCTCCCTTGGGTCTGTGTCTGTGCAATGTCCACTGCCTCCTTGAGCCCACAAAGGCCGGACACCTGCATGTTGTCTATAACATAAACCTAATAAATAGAAATAAATCTAACTAAAATATGTCCTTTGGGGGTATTTTTGCCCCAGGAATGACTCTTTGAGGGTTCAATAGTTTAAGCTGACATGTATTAATTTCCTTAGTGAGGAGGAGTTGATGATAATCGTGCATTGCCAGGTGATGTTTGAAACAGGATCTGTGCTGTCACTGTAACTGAAGCCTTGGCTGGCTGAATAGGTCTTGCAATACAAATATTTGCCTGTGGATAGATGCCTTATTATTAATTTAAAGTCTGACATAAATCCTGAGCTCAGAAATGCAGATTTAAGCTGCACGGACAAAAATAGATGTGGCCCCTTGCATGGGGACCCATTCTGATTGCGATTCCATAATTGGATCATGCTGCAATGGATACCTTAAATTTAGTTACAAAAGGCTAACAAGGAAAAAATGCTAACCATTTATCACAGCCCTAGTGCTATATTTAAAGCTGTCAGCGTTTCCAGGATATAAAGTGATCATAAATCCCCGTGATTTGTAACTGGCCATAGGAATCTGCCTTCCTGCTGACATTAACATCCGAGTTCTCCACGCTCTAAGCCCTTGATTTGGCACCGTAATTAAGCCTTCACCTCCTTTTCAGTTTAGGAATAGCCCTGCTGCTGTTACAGGCTTAAATATAGGCATAGGCTTAAACACACTGTTCAATCAAGGTCCAAGCACTTCATGTATTTCCTTCAGCAATCAACACCTTGCTGTTGGTTTGCAGTTAAAGGTACCCAAAATGCTGCTCTCACATTGCATTTACATGGCCCTGGTTTGAGGCTGAGCTTGAGGCAGATCTTTAGCTGTCGGATGAGAAGTGCAGTAGGTAAAACACAGTTCTTCAGGAGCTTTTCCTATGGGTGGCTTGCGCAGGATCCTTTAGAAAAGACAGACAATAATCCATCAATTGTAAATCCCCCGAGGCCACTGGCATCATCAGCCCAGCCCCAGGCCTCCAAAACAAGCTATAGAAACCCTTGGAATTGGGCAGGCATGGAATGACTTTCCTAAGGAAGTTTCTTCCAGGTCCTCACTAGTTCATGCCCTGAAGCTAGGGAGTTTACCTGATTGCAACAACTCATTTAGAGCTTCATCTTGCAACCTCTAGTAACGTGGCTCTCACCAGTTTGCTAAGTGGGTAAAAGCAGTAGAATGCACCTTAATTTAAGTTCAAATGCACCTGCCTGTTGAAATTCCAAATCAGCCTTGATTCCCACAAGTGTCCCCTTTTCTTGGGTCACACCAAAGCCAGGTTTTTTGCATCACAGCACAGGAACCAAGAGCCGATGCAGGATCTCCATCCCTGCTTATCAGAGACAGGAGCAAAGCTCTGGTGTCTCCTGAGAAGTTCCATTGTTTGTTAGTAAGTAATATCTTTCCCTTTGCTGGCTGTGCCCTCAGGTGAAGGGGATATTTTAGCTGCTCAAGAGCCGTACAATGGAAAGGCATTTGCTTGAGTTATGATACAGATAATCCTGCAGGAGCCTGGCATTTGGAAAACTGGCCAAGAAATAAGGCAAGGAGCAATTCCTCTGACTGTGGCTCTGCTTTCCTTTGTGTTTTCATTTCCTACCTTCATTCCTCCATCCCCTAAAGCAGTGTCAAGCCTTTGGAATGTACTCAGGAGCACAGTGAAGAACAATACCCCCAAAAATGCAATAAAAAAAGGAATTGCTTCTAAACCTCCTTTGCCGAGCATGTGAATCCTTCAGGAAACTCATACATGCCACAGCTCAGCAAATCCCTTAGGAATGTGAGCTGTCCTAGGAGTAAAGAGCGTGTGGGAAGCCTGCTAAGATATGTGTTGGGGAAGTGGGGCCTCAAACAAACAGATGATGCTCCCATCGGGGTCCTACACCACCCTGCATGACCCATTCTTCAAAGGCTGCCTTTCTCAGCCCCCGCCATGCTGTTTGCACTGCATGGGCCTCAGGCTGGATCACCACCTGCTTGGTGGGCTTGAGCAAAAGCTCTTTGTTTGTGTTCTTCAAAGGCAGGACAGCCTATGGAAGCTGAGTTTCTCCCTGGAGGTCCAGCCATGCTGCAGCCTGTGCCTAAACAGATGCTGGTGTCTCAGTGTTATTGCATTGCACAAGGCGGTGCAGAAGGCTGGGTTGTCCATAGGAGCCCTACTCTGGCTGCAGATGAGATTTGCTTGATCTCAGAGGGGATGCAAAGACTCCCCTGGTGTTGAGGGAATGGCTGTACCTGCTCTAGCACCTTAGGAAGCACTGCATCACCCAGAAACTATGCACCCTGGTGCTCATATGCATCCTGCACTGGGACTGCAGCCAGATCAAGTGCTTTATTCCAGGAACAGCAGCTCCAGCATCCAGAGCCTGAGGGAGGTATGTGAAGGGTGGACAACAAAAAGCCCAGGACAGAGAAAATGCAGTCATCTTAAATGACTTCCATCTGTCTCCCCATCACCAGAGGGATGGGGTTGGTGAAACCTCCAGGGTAGCTGAGGCTCATTGGGATGCCAGGACAACACAGGGCAAATGCCATCGTCCTCCTCCCTGGCCCTACTGCTGACCGTGCTTTGGGTGCCTGCCCAGGGTACTCTCAGTCACTTGCAGTGTTTCACTGGCTTTCTGTGCAGTAACATTTACACCTCCCAGCAGAGGTTGTCAGGAAGGGCTCCGTGTCTGCATTCACGCCAAGGCAGAAACCCTCCTGCAGTGATGACTAAGCAGCAGGAAAGAGCACGGTCAAAAATAGCCCAGGCTCAGCCCTGCTCTCACTGAAGCTGGGGAGAGCGTCACCTTGCCCATGCTTTTATCCACATTTCCTTTCTGCCACCAGGCATCTCAGAGAGGTTTCGGAAGAGCGCCTTGCCTCTTCCAAGCAAACAGAGGATCTGGAGCTCACAGGGTTTATGGATGAGAGGAGACACAGACTATCTCCCCCAGCAGATAACTCAGATGATGCACTCTCTCCACACAAATCTTGTACACCCCATTCCCACTTCAAGACCCATTTGATGTTGTGCTGCCCAAGTGGGCTTCCCATCCAGCGCTCACTGCTGGAGGAAGCACACTGTTCCCAGCATTACTTGGGCAGTGATTGCTGGGGGTCTTGGAGGGACCCAGAGAGCTCCAATAGGTACTGCATGGTCTTCCACTTGCATGTATTGGCAGCCCACCTTCAAGAGGCTAATCATGTGCTTGAAGTGGCTTTGAGGGATTTACTTTTCCTTAGGAATTCATTTCCACGGGAAAGGTTTCAGCAATTCTATTTCCCAAAAGCATGGCTGGGTTTGAGGGGAGGAAAATCCTTGCCAATGGCAAGGATTAAGGCTTGCCAATGTGGGAGTTTGCTTCTATGCTCACAGGGGGTAATTCCAAAGGGATAGGAAGGATCAAGAGGCACATCAGTGTGTAAGCAGTGAAAATCATGGGCAGAGGGAGTGGTCTGCCCGCTGATGGACAACTCCCCGGTGCTGCATGTGTGTTTGCTGCTGTTTTCTAAGAGCAGTGGGGAGCAGGGGAGCCAGGCACAGTTTAATTCCTCCCCTGCAGAAGCTGGTAGGTTTGCACTTGGAACCTTTCTTTTCAATGGAAAGCTGGGGTCTGAGCTAAACTGAGCTGAACCTGAAAGTGTCTGTGAGGTTTTTGTGTAGCAACCAGCACAAGTACTGATGGAGAGGAAACGGAGCCAACCCAGCAGCTTGCCAGTGCCCTGGAGCAAGAAATGTTCTCGTTCTTCAGCCCAAACCTAAAATCCATCAGCAGCAAAATGAATGATAGCATTTAACAGGAACTACAGCCTTGTTTTGCTGCTTTCCTTACAGGCCTAAAGCTCCCACAGACCACATCTCCCATGCTGTGTCTTGACCATGCCATTCTACTGAAGTCACCATGCTGCTGTTGTTTGTTCTACAAGTAGGTGCAATATTGCCACCCAGGAAAGGTGCCTGGTGTCTGGAGGAGAGCAGGGCTGTGGCATGCTGCAGTGGGAGCTACGGAACTACCCTTCTCAGGCTTTGGAGCCCTGATGCAGGGGAGAGGGAGGTGGACTCGCTGGCAGCATCCCTGCTATACCTACCCCTAGGTCCTGCTTCCACCAGCCAGGCCATGCTAGGACAGAAACCAGTATCAAAGCAGACTTCAAAAAGCTCATGTCTGGGGTAAGCGTGAAAAAAGAAAGACAGAAAGGCCTCCATGCTGCCCTTCACTTGGAGCTGGTGGCCTCATGGCATCCTGCACATCAGTATTCAAGGGGCTGTTGCATCTGCCTCAAGTGTGCAGTTGAGATTGAGAGCTCTTAGGCAGAAGTTCTTCCCTGTGAGGGTGCTGAGGCGCTGGCACAGGGTGCCCAGAGAAGCTGTGGCTGCCCCACCCCTGGCAGTGTTCAAGGCCAGGTTGGACACAGGGGCTTGGAGCAACCTGCTCTAGTGGAAGGTGTCCCTGTCTGTGGCAGGGGTTGGAACTGGATGAGCTTTAAGGTCCCTTCCACCCCAAACCAGGCTGGGAGTCCATGATTCTATGACAGACACTCCACAGTGAAATCAATTTCCTCTGATGTCTCTCTTGCAGAAAAGCCCCAAAGCAAAAGCTTCCCTTCCTCTTCACTCCTGACTTGCTGGCTCCTTTGGAAACCTCAGGCTGGCAGCATGACTTACACAAGGTGCCAGCAGCAAATGGAGGCACAGATTGCTTTTGATGTTTCAGTCAAGTTTATGTTTCTAATCATTGTTATTTGGCCAGAGTAAAGAAGACTCAGTCAAGCAGATATCCCAACAGCAGGGTTAATAGTGCTGAAACATCAAGTGTGTTGTGAATGGCAAACATGAATGAAGTCATGATGTGGAGATCGCGAGTACCACGCACAGATTTGAACAGGGAAGGTTTAGTGGCTGCAGTATCCAGTCATGTCACTGAAAGCAGCACTGGACATGTGCACACAGACATGAAACCCTGCCATGAGTTAGCCCTGGGCTCAGCCCAGGCAGGGGACCACGCTCAGCATGGATAGCCATTGCCTTTGGTCAGCAAGGCCAGCATGCTGGCTTCCC